CATAGAGCCCAATGCATATCCGACCAGGAACACATAGCCAGTGAACTCAAGCACGTACACCAAGCACTTAAGGCTAATGGTTACTCCGACTACACAATCCGCAAAGCTATCACTCCAACCATGAAGAAGGACCCTCTTGAGGAGCCTTTCAAAACCATCACTTTACCCTACATTGCGGGGATCACAAAAAGATCTCCAAAATCTTGAATAAACACAAGATCCAGGTCCGATTCAACACCTTACATAGAATCCGTGATCTGGTTCCGTCTGTAAAAGATGTGATTCCGGACATACAGTACCCTGGCGTCTACAAACTAAGTTGCCTCTGTGGTAGTAGTTACATTGGAGAAACCAAACGACATGTCTCGGACCGCATTCCTGAACACAAAGCAGACCTAAAACACGGTAGGACCAACACCTCGGCCGTGGCAGATCACTTATAATTTAGTAGGCTCACATGACATTGACTTCTCCAAGACAGAGGTTCTTTGCAAGCCATCTGGCTACCATGAGAGATTCGTTCATGAGGCTATCCACATATACAAACAGACAATTTCAACCGCGAAGATGGATTCTGGCTTAGCAATCATTGGAAGGATTTGATAAACCATTTCGGGTTTTAATTGATTGTTCACGCTTAAGGTGGCTTTCAGACCACGGCCATTATTTTCGTCTCCCCCCTCCTCTTTTCCGAACATAGATGGACTCGTCCATCTGAACAAACTGTCAAATCGCTCTCCGTGGTGCTAACGTTAAAAATAACCGCCACTTTTTTTCAAATTTTCTTGCTGTGGTTTTCACACCTGATGATGATTGCCTGTGTTGCAGTCGAAACGTCGTGATAATTGTATTGTTTTATATTTTTATTATTTTATTGTTTCCCTTCTACGTGACTTTACCGAAAGAACCAAGAATAACAACAATAAAGATGGAAAAGCACAGTGCCAGGGTACACGATACGAGGTGAATTGCCCAAGCAAGCACAGCGCTCGTAGTTCCCGAGTCGTGGTGTAGGGAACGACAGAAAAACGAGGTGAAGAAGAGAGTGCAGAACAGGAAGAGACAGATATACTTGGGTCTTTCTGTAAAGTCGCGTAGATAGGTTCAAAGAAAATAACAAAAAATTACAAAAAAAACGATGACGTTTCGATCGCAACACAAGCAATCGTCATCGGGAGAAAAAATTGCCGGAAAGCTGCTGAGGCAGGATGTTTTAAAGGATTGAAATGGGTGAAGCCCAAGGGTCATAAGCGAAGTGGGCGGGGCTAGTGATGTTATGGTGAGAAATTTGCATGTCCAGTGGTACCCCAGAGATCGAACTTAATTCGTTCCAGAAGGCCATTTGAACACCGATTTGTTCGAACACCGAATTAATTTCCCCCATAATAATTAATGTAAGTTACATTATTTATTGGTTCCAGACACAAGAAATATCTCATTATAAAGCATTTGTACACGAAGTTTACAGTAATTACATGCATACAATCATTAAAAAAAAAGAAACACAATAAATATATGGAATAAATGAATAAATAAATGGAATAAATAAAATAAATGAACATTGAACGTCACTTTACTTGTAGTAAGGAGAGTTGATGGCTTGAGTGGAAGGTGGTGAGGAGGAGGTGGTAAAACCTTTGTCTGGGCAAGCGTCATGCACGCTGGCTCATACGCGTCTCAGCCGTGTACAGGTTCTTTCAAGTCGTGATTGCCCGTTCAACCTCCGAATTTCGTTCGGTTTCCGGGGCAAATTTTTTTCGTAAATATCGTTCGAACACCGATTTGTTCGAGTTCTGGTGCGTTCGATCTCCGAGGTTCTACTGTAAATGTAAGATCGTAGAGCTACCTCCACGACGACGAATCTGCGGAGGTGGCCATTGTGAGAGATTAGCATGTCAATGTAAGATCGCAGAGCCACCGCCACATCGAGGAAAAACGAGCAACGGTGGCTGTGTTAGTGAGACATTTAACCTCACTAACACAGCCACCCGTTGCTCGTTTTCTCGATGTGGCGGTGGCTCTGCGATCTTACATTGACATGCTAATCTCTCACAATACCATGGCCACCTCCGCAGCTTTGTCATCTCCTGATGACGATTGCTTGTGTTGCGATCCAAACGTCATAGTTTTTTCTCATTTTTTGTTGTTTTCTTTGAACCTATCTACGTGACTTTACCGAAAGACCCACGAATATTAATTCCTGCAGTCACGAAAGCTTTAATTCAGGAAGAGACAGAACATGGACGGGAAAATCCGAATCGTCATCTTTATTTAGCCTGGAGGAATTCGATGAACTGTGAAGTTCTTTTTCACAGTAATAGGGGTGGGTGGTCGGCAAGTTACAACAACAAATGAAACAAAAATACCTTAGTGCGCAAAATTGAGAAAAGGTAAGCAAGTCGCTAAAATTAAATGAAGTTGAAGAATACAAGTACAAATTGCACGCAAGTACATACATTCCTGCCGATTTGGCAAGGCAAATGAATGTGAGCTTGGGGGCAAGCCAGTAAAACAACAGCAACAGCAGTCCCAGACCACAGTCCCTCAATTAAATTGCACATTAAAATGTAACTATCGATACACGGGTACGGTTCTGTGTGGCTGTGTCTGGCATCAATATTCTGCTTCCGGATGTGTTTTTCAAGGAAGATTTACGGTGGCAAGGGAGTTAACAAGGGTGTTCCAAAACGTTGGTGCTGCAGCGGCAAAAGGAAGGAAGTGACTGGCAGAAAGTACTAAATAATTGATTCTTACACGCATGACATGATGCACGTGTCCTGAGCGTAAGGATCGATTTCAGCATTGAATCAACGCGGCGTGAAATGCCGAGTGCTAACATTGCGTTCACCAGCTGGGGATTGCTTAGGTCGTAGATTTTTTTTCTTGCCGTGCAAATCGGGGGGCCGGGTGCAGTACTAATAGGGCCGAGGTTTGTGGTTTGTTCATATTTTCCATGCAAAGCGTGATTACGAAATCCCATTGGCTGAAATGGACTCGGGGGTGACTTGACCTGGCTTATGTGTGGTGGCTGACACGCACACGGGCTGCACAAGTAATTCGAACCAGGGCCGGATTTATGAGAGGGAGCCAAATGGCACATTTGATAATGGCCCAAAATTCCAGAAGGGCCCGTGCAACAACAAAACATTCTTAAGATACAAGTAGGACTGTTTATTAATGCTATCGCTTAAATGTGAACTAAATTAACAATACTACTACCTTTACCTCTTGTTGTTTTAGGAAGTTGATTTCAGTTAATCTTACAATCTTCCCCAAACTTAGAATTGGTTTCATTATTTCTGTTTTTACAGAGTTGTTTTTTATTCATTTGCGTGCATTATACGTTGGTGTGTACCGGGCCATTGTGCAGCATCCCATTTTAACAAAAGTAGACTTTGTTGCCTGTAACACAAAGTGCTGAGTAACACAAACGACTCGGTTTGGGCTCTATGCCGTGCATAGCAGTCATCGCCTCTTACTACCGGCAAACTAATTCCCAAGGTCAGTGATTAATATACCTAAATCCGACACTGATCCCGCCACAGCGACAACAATGAGCTCTCTCAAAAGCCACCTTCTGATCACGTTGCAGTCCAGTTTTCACTCCCTGCAAATGCGATGCCATTGGGGTTGCCATTACCTGAGAGTGTGGTGTCCTCTGGTGGCCACATTGTGTTCGTGCACGTGACTGCATTGCTTTTATCACGACAGAAATCGCTCCCCTTGCAATTACCCGCAGCTTTTTGCAGTTCTTGTGTGCTGAACGGTGCTCCCGATTCGTAAATTCATGCTTTTTAAAAAATATTCTTATGCTGCTGGCAGTCGTCAATTGCATACGTTATGGGCGTACGTGTCCCCTATAGCCACTTTAGTCGCTACATTCACCACAATGTTACACATTGATTATTGAAACAAATATCGTGCGTAGTTATGAGGTATGATTAATTCATTAATAATTATGTGAATATGCTCACAATACATTCATTAAATATTGTGTGGAAGTAATTGATTTAAAAATTCCTATATGCTGTATTTAATGGGTTTATGTGGCCCCTGTAACATATAATAGGTGTATTTAACCAAATTGAGACATTGTATCACTTATGTTTGCCAAATTTCTGGCACACTTAATAGTGCTGATTATAATTCTGTACATTGTTTGAAGTTATTTATTAAGTTGGTTATTGTAACAGTGACATTTTCATTATTCAGCATCAATGTAAATGTTTTCGGCCGGTATAATTATGGCAGGGTGGCCCCGTTGGCGCATTGTAAGATGTGTCTGGGTTCGATTCCTGACCCAGGTGCTTTTCTGCGTGGAGTTTCTATATTCTCCCCCAGTTCTGCATGGGTTTTAAACTATTATAAATTTGTATATTACTAGATAAGGCCCACTGACCTATATAGATCTTCATCAGAAGCGACGTGCCCACAAATGATAGCTTTACAAAGTGGCTTATCATGTGGATGGATTGCAGTCAAATACTAGAAACGTGTGTTTCTAAATTAGGAGGGAAAAAACGGAGGACCCGTATAAAAATCCATGCAACCAGGAGGAGAGAGAGACATGCAACCTCAAATATGCAGGCATCAGGGTTGGGATCGAACCCACGACCTCCTGTATACCAGGCGAGGTAGTGAACATCTCGGTGCCATGGGTTTCCTCCTAAAGCTTCAGTTTATCAGTCTCCGGCACAGTCAATGGCCCCCACAGTGTAACTGGTATTGGCACAAAAAAACCCAATTCGTAAACATTACCGTGCAACTTACTCAATTGGAACCACACACACGTAACCAGCAACATCACCCCCGACTGCAAACAAAAAAAACTTGGCAGGACCCTCTTGTCTTGAGACCGAGTGATGCTCTCCTGGGTAAAAAAAAAAGAAAATAGCATAAATAAAAGCAAACAACGTGCCGCGGGAAGACACAACGTGAGCTGTGGTTGTGGCTGACGTTCTCTTGCCTTGTGTGTGTCTGTGCTTGCGCCCCCTCCGCAGGATGTTTCTGAAGGCGTTCGCCCTCATGGGGGAGACACAGGAGCGCGAGCGGGTGGTCGTGCACTTCTCCCGACGCTACCACACGTGCAACCCCGACGGTGTCTCCTCAGAGGGTGAGAACGCTGTTTCTCTACGCGTGTGCGCGCGTGTGTGCGCTTGACGCAGGTATTGGAGCGGCGGTGCAGCGGTTAGCGCGCTGCCCTTCGAACCCGGCGGTCAACACCAGTGACGATTGCTTGAAATGGTGCTCAGCCTCCCCTAGGTCCACTTGGCCTCAAATGAGTACTAAGTCCGGTTTGTAAACATTGCCCTTTCAAAGACAAAGGCGACTGGGCGTGGTGCTGGCCACCCACCCTCTCGTGTGCTATGCCGGCCTTCATAGGTGTTTGCAAACGGCACTTTCCCCAACAGTCTGTTCAGGTTATACGGGGGATCTTTCTCTTTGGTGTAATTATTTACGTGCCTTGTGCTACCATTCTCATGTACAATGTCCAAGGCTTATCCTAGACCCCCACAGTAGGTAAACTCAAATGAGTGATTTGTGTGGTGCATAAACATCAGCACTGTGGAGTCAAAGGCTGTTGGGCTGGTGCTGGCCTCACCACCCCTTGTGTTCTATAGTTCATGTATTAACAGTTGCTCAATAGCACTATTTAACCCTCTTTCTTGAGGCTGGAAGGGAGGGGGATGTTTGACTTAGTCTTTTTGTTTTGTTTGGTGAGGAGTGGTCACAATCCCTGTGATCCACAGTATATGATGACTGGCCATGCATGGTAGCAATTGGACTTTCCCTGTAGCTCCATCAATTCAACTAAGCCTGCTTTGAGCACCTGGTTTCTTTCTTGTATAAGAATATATAAAGATGGCTGGATATGTATGGTGCTACATCACTGACCACTTCAATATAATCAAATCCTATTGTCGTGCTTAGTTTCCCAAAATAATATGAATTCCTTTCATATACCCGGGAAAAGCCTGAGTCTCAATACTGTTTTTTAGAAGAGGCGTTTGACTTATATAATTTTAATGTGAATAATAAGCAGTTGCATTTGGAGGCCCAGCCCTCTTTTCTCTCCACCTGATGAAGATCGCTTGTGTTGCGATCGAAACGTCGTGGGTTTTTTGCTTTTTATTTTTAATTTTATTTTTAATTTATTTCATTTTTATTTTCTATCTACGTGACTTTACCGAAAGAACCAAGAATATGAATTCCTGCAGTCATGAAAGTTTTAAGTCAAAAATAAAACCACGTTTTTGATACTTTATATAATGGATTGGCCAGACCAATAAATCGAAATCGGTTTAAACCATGCTTTAATAAAATGAGTGAAACTTACTTAAACACTTCTGCAAATTATGCAGTATAGGATGGCAAATTTTTTAATTGCTATGCAGTCACGCATCTGAATTTTCAGTAAAAATCCAAGGCCCGTCCGATTGGCAGCTCAGATTTAAGAGCCCTGCGTAGGTTTAGGTAAATTCTCACCCTCCGTGCAACGCGGCACATTAAATTGCCACGCACGCAACAGACTCCCACGTCATTGTACAGTACGCGGTTGATGTTTTTTCATTGCCATGTATAGTACGTCGTGGTTTCGTTTATGTCCACATGCTGTGCGTGGTGTGTGTGGGGTGTGAGTGTGTGTTAGGTGTGTGTGTGTGGGGTGTGCATGGGTATGTGTGCATGCGTGTAGGGAGCGGTAGTGGAGCGGTTAGCGCCCTGCGCTACGAACCCGGCGGCCCGAGTTCGATTCCTGCTCATGGCCAACACCTGTGACGATTATGTGAACCGGTCCCGGCTCTCCCCTAGGTCGACTCAGCCTCAAATGAGTACCTGGTGCAGTGTGCAAACATCGCCATTAGGGAGACAAAGGCGGCCTGGGCGTGACGTTGGCCACCCACCCCCTCGTGTGCCGTGCCGGCCTTCATAGGTGCTCGCTAACAGCACTTGCCCCAACAGTCTGCTCAGGCTATACGGGGGATCTTTTTGTGTGTGTGCGCGTGAGCGGGTTTGATTTATTTCGTGGCTGTTGCTCGTAACACCCCCCCGCAAGAGCCCTGTTCAGAGGCCCTTTCGTTTTATTTTACTTCCGCCAGCGATTGTTTTGCCATACACCCTGCGGTAATGAGCTGGGAGCTGCAGTCCTTTGCGGAATGTACTTTTCTGTGAGCACTGCCACTCACAAACAAAATACTCTGATGTGTCATCCGCGGTGGTTGTTTTTTGTTGTTGTTCGCATTAGTTTCAAATCCCTGCCACATTTTTCACGTGCGGAAGCGGCCCGCGAATGTATTTCCGAGCGGCGGGAGGTCACATGCGCGTGACGGATAGTGGCAGGCTCGTAACATGAACCGCCTTCGTTTATTTAAAAAATACATACACCAAAGGTCACGTGTCAGTGGGGGGGGGGGGGGGGGGGGGGCGGTTTGCACCCTGGGGTTTACCGCTTGCCCGGGCGCCGTTTGCCGACGCCCGCGCCTGCGATCCGGCTCTCCGGTAAAGAGCAGCCGTTACTAAAGATTCGGTGAGCGTTGCTTGTGTCCTCATTTGTGGCAGTGGTTTGCACATTTTTTGGCTACTACTGTAACATCCCCCCCCCCCCAACCCCCCCCTGCCTGACCCAACGTCGTTCTGAGAAATAAATGTACGAATAATGAACATCATTATTTTGACCAACTGTCCATTTAGTGAGGTACCCTAACTAGCTAAGTAACCTGCGAGCGAATAAGAAAAAAATACAACGCACCCTCTGCACGCGTCACGTAATTTGTTCGCGCTCGCTGGTTACTCTGGGAAACAACGTTGTTTACTATCGATTAATGTAGAAAGGTCTTTTATATTGTTCTAGCTTAACATGTGGATTAAAATGTTATCGTAGTTATTATTTTGGCAGATTCATCCATGATTATTCACCAATGATTCTCACCTATGATATAATTTTACACGTTTATAAACCGCCTCGCGGAAGCCCCTGCGAAATTGCCACTTACCCCCAGGGGTCCGCGTACCCCCGATTGCGAACCACTGGGTTAGGGGCTCGGGCTGCGCCCCACCAGTGAGTCATGACTCTCTTTCGGGAGAACTCCCCCCAACACGTTCATAACAGAGGGTTTTTTTTGTTAGATTGCGTAAATATAAATGTGTCGTTAAAACCGCCACCGAGGGACACGGCCGATTAGTAAGGTTTGTCACGTATTGAAAACATGACAATTAATGATCTGTACAACACCACCAGTGTGTGGTGGAGAGTAATCCCACAACATTTGCAATGAGAGTACGACGTTTCGCTGGTAATCACAACCAGCTTCAACAGGTGATAGCCAGAAAAACCCCTGTATTTTGGAGAATATTGTTCGCGAAAGGCCTACCTGTTAATACAACACATTCATCGCTAGTGATTGGGTTTCTTCATGATCATTGTTGTAATTTTCATCCGGTTTTATTTAGATTGTGCTATCGGTGTCATGTCACGTGATGAACAAAATTAAAATCTTCTTTGGTTCTTTCGGTAAAGTCACGTAGAATGAGAATAAAATAATAAATTCATAAAATAAAATAACACAATAAAATTCTCACGACGTTTCGGCCACAACACAAGCGGCCTTCATCAGGTGAAGGGACGAGACTGTCTGGAGGACAGCTCGCTCCAGCGCTGTGAGAATTTTATTGTGTTATTTTATTTTATCAATTTATTAATTTATTCTCATTCTACGTGACTTTACCGAAAGAACCAAAGAAGAGTAATCCTTGCAGTCACGAAATCTGAGTGTTCGAGAATTTTTCCAATGAAGCAGACCTTGCCGAGCGGCCTCCGCGATGCAATCATTTGGTCCTCACTGTGGGGGTTAGCACCTCCTACACCACACCGCCACTGCTGTTGCGTGACAATCAAAGCAGTGTTCTTCTCAGAACCACAATGCAACCGAATTAGGCATTTAACAAACTTATTTACGTGAAAATATAAAACAAAAAATGTTCATCAGAAAACATCTTTAACATTTCAATTTTGCCAGGCCCCATGGTTTCAAGTGCAGTCTCCAACTCCTATCCACTCTTTTTCTCTGGCCTCTCTATTTACAGACCATTAAGAAGGTTCGTTGGCTGAAACGTCACCTATTGTATATATATATTTTCCTTTTAAGGCCACAATAACGTTATTGATGAACGTGTCCAGTTTTTGTTGTTGATTGTGCACCACTGCCAATGCAGCAGCATCACCACATAATTAATAAAAACAATTTAGACCATCGACTATGTCCACTTGAGGAACCAGTTTCATCACGGGTGTCTACCTGGATTGGCACCCAGAATCTTAAGCCTCAGACGCCAGCTCATTACTTTGACCTCCGAACCACCCCGCCCGCCTCAACGCTGCGAATATTTTATTTAATCTCCGATGATTGTAAAATTGACACCTTTCGTAAGTGGCGCCAATTTTATACTCGCCCTGTCAGCCTCCGTGTCTTCACAGTCAAAAGGGCTATTCACCGAAAAATTGCCATGGCAAAGGCCGGTGCTTGCTTCTTCCTTCATTTGTCCTCTGGAGCCAAACTCAATTTACATTCAGATACATAATGCATAGCTTATTCTGTTTCTCGCTTGAGCTATGTGTTTGCTGTGTAAATTTACTGTGCTTTGTGTATTTGGCCGCCATAAGTGGCATGAGCTTCCAGTTTTGAATGAAAAAATGGATACATCAGTCGGGCTTAAATTTTCCAGCTTGTACGCTGTCTATTTTTTTTTTTAAAGGGAATTCCGCCTGCGTCGTTTGTTCTCATCCCTGATTATTCCGTCTCTGTGAAATTATTCAACAGACGGAGTTCACACACTCACTTGTGCCCTGATGTTGCTGAATACGGATTTGCATGGACCCGTGAGTATATTTCACAATGGTATTAATATTACTTTTTCTTAAGCATAATGGATCAAATTACGTATACGGCTGCGTATTTCATTGTTAGCACTGTGTTTTGCTTCTGTTCATCGCCTGCATAAAGCCTTGATGTCTAACTTTAGATCAGCGATAACACGTGCGTTTGGCGAGTCTGCGAGCGGAATGTGTGCTTGGTGTTACGCCACTCACGTAGACTGGACGAGCAAAATGCAACCCATGGTTTAAATCAAGGAAAATGCTAGGGAAGTATTAACACTTACCGTAGTTCTCTTTGACGTGTCCAAGTAAAGTACACTGCATGGTATTTAGTGATGCAAAGCAACGGGTTATACGTGCAGGGTTTCAGCAGTGTTGCCGAGTCCACTCACCACTGAGAGTCGCCCGACCAGCGATTGTCACCTATGAAATAAAAACTCTCCTGAATCGTCTGTCACGTGGGGGCTGCTCGGCTTCCAGATTGAATGGCGTCGTCGCGGGCTTGAGTGTTCCTGGTGCGCCGTCGAATTACGTCGGCTTAGTGCGACCGGCTCGCACGATGCCTTGTATGTACGTTGAACTTCTTTCGCGCCGTATGTAGACAGCCGTGCTAATCGGTGCGGGGGAACGACAACAAACTGAACACAAAAAGCAGTTTAAAAAAAATGAGTTTTCAATTTTGATTATTTAAAAGGGCATAGCTCCAGTGGCTTCCTAATCTCGGAAGGAAGAGCGTCCCAGACGGCCGTAGGAGCGCATCCGAAAGCGTGCGATGCATTGACCGTCTTCGTTCGATGGCTGGCCAAACGCTGCTGCGAGGATGACTGGATTTTGCATGATGCTTTACGTCCCTTGTCGAGATCAGTTACGATGTGACATAGCTGTTAATGAAAGTACTGTGATCAGACCTCAAGTGATGTAGCCAGAGCATGCCTGAAAGTGACCGATGGCTGAGATTTTGCCATCGCGTTCTTTATGGTTTTAAGATTAATTAGGCAAGATTCCACCTCGGAGAATTGTTTGCATTATTTGAACTGCCATGTAATGATACGTCTATGGATAAGGGGTCACTTGAAGGAATATCTGAAGTAGTTGTGTCATATCACCTTCTGTGAACCATCTTCTAACACAAGGTAATTAACTTCTTTCTAATAGTTTCACACGGACATTTCTCCATCTTACGACATGATGTTGACTGTGCATATGAAGTAATATTTGAAGAAAATTAGGAAAAGAAAATGTGAAATGGGTTGATGTTCATTAAGGAAGTCTCAACCTGTCGTCAGACATCCCAGAACACAGCCTGAGTATGCCGCAGCTGCACATTACGAGCGGCTCGTTCTCCGGGTTGCGCCTTGCCGATCGTTGGGTCCATTGCTTAGACCTCATCGCTGCTTTCCACACGAAAGTGGAGCCATTTCTTTGGCGTGACGTCTTCTCATCTCACAATTCGTCTCCATGCTCCTCTGATTCGCACTTCACCCGCTGCACTTGACACCCCCTCCCACGCACAGCTAACAAGAATCCCCCCTAATTAGAACGCTCTTGATTTATTTCATGCTCATGCATCGAAATCGTAAGTGCAATGCTGAATTGTATCTCTCGCTTCAACCGTTGTTCTCTCCGTGCCTCTGCCCTCCTCCGTGGGGAGCGGGGAGGGGTAGCGGGTTAGTGTGCCGCGCTACGAACCCTGGCCACCCTCCCCTAGGTCCGACTCGGCCTCGGACGAGTGCATGGTGCGAGACTAATAATACACGCCATCTGGTTCGCGGTGGACGTTCAAAGTTCCCGTGGCATCATTCGCAAGAGTGGGCCGTTGTGTGCCGGCGGCGCTGTCCAACCTTGCCACGTTTAAAAGATTACCCGCACGGTACTCAGATTGCGATTGCACTTGGCAACCGTCGTCCCCCGACCGCAAAATCTTGGCAGGGCCCTCCTGGTGCAAAGAGTCACGAGACTCGGTGAGGCTTTCCTGCTGGATAAACAAGAGTGATAATAATTAATTAGCGTGAATTTGTCACACAGCAGTTGTAAGACACGGATACTTCTCAATCGCTCCGTATCTCTGTGCTGCTGCCCTCCATCGCTGGATCTTTGCATCTTTCTTACACTTGTTACTTCTTCTTTCAGTCTATCCATCTTTTTCGACATACAATATAACTGTTTATCGGCGTACGCCTATCTCTGCTACCACTCGCTGATTCGCTGTCTCTCCTCCCCTCCGAACCCAAAGAACATTGGCAAGAAGATGAACTGCCAGGAGTTTATCGACAACCTCGTTGGACTCAATGACGGCCGCGACTTCCCCCGCGATCTTCTCAAGGTACGCCAGCACCTTACATTACTCGAGCGGCCTAGAGCTGTGCAGAGGTGCGGACGAGGAAGGTAGACCGGGTTCGGGGCCATTTAAGGTCAACCGCCGCAGGCAGCCCTGACCGGCAATGGTGTTGGCATTTGCCGCAACAACCTTTTCCATGGAAGAAAAAAAAAAGTGCTTTCCAAATTTCGGAACATCTCAGAGCTACTAAGCTCGCCGATGGTTTTGTCGTGTTGCACGTTGTTCGGCGTGGTGTCCGACGTTTCACTCCACCTGCTGGGAGATTTCAGGAACTAAATTGAGCAGCTCGCCTGCCCAATCAGAGTAGAGATTGGGGCAACAGCCGCAGGAGCCGGCGATCCTTTGCAACTGAGGAAGAACGCGATCTTGCTGAATTCAGTTTCCGAAGAAGCTCTCGGTGCGTGGACCGAAACGTTGAACATCGTGCCGAGCCATGCGCGTACGGCCAGTAAATACGTCTGAGAGCTACACAGCGCAACCGCGAATACAAACGCAGCCCTCACGTCGTCGATCATAGAGGTCACATGATGACCCAAGGTTACGTGCTCTGTCGACCAATCATTGTTCATCAAACACACTTTTCAACAAGCTCATTTTTCATTGTCAGGACAGAATTCTATCACTCTACACCACAGCAATACCAAGTTACCACCGTTGCTCATCGTAAATGCATTGCCGGTAACATTTTCCCAAAAATTTGCCCTGTTGATCTTTAGAAAACAAATACACCCCCATATGTGAGTGGACCATGCCAGTCTATCCTCTCAACCTAGCACAGTTTCAATCCAAACACCCTACAATGGAATGGAATATTCCGGTCCACCATGTTGATGAAAACCCTCAACAGTCCTTGATAACAAGAACAACGACAACACCTCAAAAGGTTTCCTGCAGTAGTAATGGGGGACGCTTATCAGCGCTAACTCGGGAATGATTAATTCACCCCGCCGCGTGAAATCTCTCAACAGCAATCTGTGCCCGGTTACGAATGGGGTCGGGCTAACCTTGCAGTGGGGCTAACCTCCACCCATCTTCTTTGCCACATGCTCAATCACCAATGAGACACGGCGGGCCTATTGGTCAGCCCGGCCTCTTTGGAACATTCCTGCACACGGTCGCTGTGGACCGTGTGGCTCTTTGAATCGGTGTGGAATCATCGACTTCCTGCGTGGCCAGCAGAGGGCGTGCTTGTTTGCGTTCCAACCCCTCGGCTTTGTCGTTCCGCACGCCGGGTGAATTTTGCCGGCGAGGAGCCGGCCCGTTATTGCGTTCGCGTCGTCGCCGCTCCGACCTCGCGAGTGGGAGAGCGAGTGCGCCTCGCCAGGCGAAATCCGTTTACGCTTTATCGCTCCTCCGGAAACGTTAGCGCGGTGGACGCAGCCTGAGTCGTGTTCTTTGGGCTTTGTCCACTTTTAATATTTCAAGCACGCCCCGCGCACGCGTTCGGTAAAGTTAACCTCGGCGAGTCGAACGGCGATAGAACAGGTGGCGTGCCACTGGCCACGCGAGGGCCGAGCCGAGCCACGCGAGAGCCGAGCCACACCACACCACACCACGCCACGCGTGAGCCGAGCCGAGCTGAGCTACGCGTGAGCCGAGCGAGAGCCATGGACACAGCCTTCTGGAGCCACGTAGGTGGGGAGGGCAGCGGCGGTGGTGGCGGCGAAGTTGCTGCTGTGAAGACGAGCGACGAGGCACAAATCGTGCACGGAGTCCGCAGGCTGGCGTCCGCAAGCGGCGCACAGCGGCACACAGCCTGGCCCTGATCCGAACACGAGTTGCGCTCGCTCGCAAATCTCCCGCCAGTCACACTTTTTTCTGGCCGATGACGCGTTGTCGTATTCGCGTCCTTCCTCGTAAGGGTCGATGTGACCCTGGTATATAGTTCGAGGTACGCTGCCCTCTGTGGTGTACCGTATTTTCCCGCATATAACCCGCGGGGTATACCACTTTTTACAAACAAAACAAGACCCTGCGGGGTATGTGGAGGTGCGGGCTATCCCAAAAATATTTTACACGTGTGACATGTCATAACTCATATTCTTAGCTCTTTCGGTAAAGTCACGTTGAAGGGAAACAATAAAATATATATAAAACAATAAAATTCTCACGACGTTTCGACCATAACACAAACGGTCAGGTGTGAAAACCAACGGCAAGAAACATTTGAAAGAAGTGGTTTTCACACCTGATGATGACCGTTTGTGTTATGGTCGAAACGTCGTGAGAATTTTATTGTTTTATATATATTTTATTATTTTATTGTTTCCCTTCAACGTGACTTTACCGAAAGAGCTAAGAATATGAATTACTGCAGTCACGAAAGCTTTAAATCAAAATGTCATAACTCGTTTATTTTTTTAGTGGTAGGACGATCCACTATGCAAGACTTACCTTTGACTAAAGCACTGCTGAATAAACCACTCGCACTAAAATCGCACATGGTATCACGTTTTAAATGATTCGAATTGTTTGTACAATGAAACGAACAATATTTGAAGTGGGCGCACTTTGTTTACCGTAATACTTTCAGTGGCTGTAGGGGGGGGGGGGGGTGTGAAAGTTTCAGCTGAGGCTATGGATTGCACAATGGGAAGGGCCTTAACAAGCGTCTACCAGACGTGGAATCATAATTGCGGGGAGTCCCTTAGGCCGCTGTGATTGGCTGAGCACTATACAGTCGCGACCATGAGCTTTGTTTCAAACTTCCAATGGCTTTGTTGCCAGGAGGCAAACGGCGTTACCGTAGTGCCGCTATTGTCTGCGCAGTGCGCAGTCTGCCAGTGCTAAAACTGTACAGGGGTAACTACCGGTCCAGTAGCTGTAATATGATGAGGACGAATGCTGGTAAGCCTAACAGTACGCTTACTTACTTATCTACCAGTTATGTGTCGCTTAGTTATTGGATATTTACTTTTGTTACTTATTTACTGTTTTAAGTTCACGCATTTCCGGTTAGTTTGTTGTCTTTGTGCACGTTATGATTTTAATGTTAACAATTGATGGTGTAATGCATTACAAATGTAAACTTTGTATTAATATGATGGAATTAAACTGCAGGAATGACGTTAAAGATATGAATGCATGCGGGGTATATGGCGATGCGGACTATCTGAAATTTGTTTTACACAAAACGCTATTTTTGCGGGGTATATGCGTCTGCGGGGTATATGCGTCTGCGGGTTATATGCGTATGGGGGTTATATGCGTATGTGGGCTATATGCGGGAAAATACGGTAATGGTCGGCAGCACACTGAACATGCAATACCAGAGGTCACCGGTTCAATTCGATCTCCCGGCACGGCAGTTGAAACAATGGGGGCAGCTTTATTTAATCCACCTCTGTCCACCCAACCGTATAAATGGGAAATGGGCACACCGCAGTTAATTGGCAGGCCGTGTACGGTGGGGTAAAGTGTGGGTATTCCCACCAAAGCATCTGGCCAGCTGAGAAGGGGGCCAAAATAACCACGGGGTCGCGGGTTATCTTGATCTCACTTTTGTGGAGGTCATTCCTTCGGTCGTGGCGTGAGCAAGCGTAATATGGGGAGATGGAAAAGTCCATCCTGTGTCCTGTCACACCGCGGACCTTTTATTACTGCCACAGGCACTGGCACGGCGTGTGAATGCAAGTGCTGTCGTTATTGTCAATTGTTCTATCTCGAACATCAATTGCCAGAGTGAGTGCACCTCTTGCTCATTAATTACACTCAATCGTGGGTGATGGAATTTAAACAAATCAGGTTTGTAGACAAATTTACTGCAACGTCTCCTCTGCCACTGATAGGTATGGCTAAGGTGACATTTTAGTTTGAATGAATGGTGTCACGGGTTTATTTCATTTTTTATTAGCTTACAACCTCTGGCATGCTTTTGTGCTGCGTGTGAGATGGGTGCACAAAATCTCCCACTGGCTATGACCCAATAGAGAGCACGGACACATTGCCCTGGTCGTTAGAGGAGAGGTTGTGTTAATATCTTTGGTCCCCGCCTACATTTTATACAGCCATAGTTTAGTTACACATCCATGCTTTCGGAAATATCATAAAGGGCCTTTGGAGTTTGGGGGTGGGGGGTATGGCGGATAGCGTTGTGCTGCCCAGACCTCTCCAGCGAAGTGGAGAATTGGGAAGGAAAAAATGTTGCAATCATCTTGGCCTGCCTGTAGATATACGACTCGCAGAGTCGCACGCACTTGTTAATGCTGGACGCATTAACAAGTGCGTGCGAATATTAAACCCTGACCTGATTAGAGCACGGCTCGCTGGCTTTAGAAGGGCTACGAGGCTTGCAGACGCAGTTTAATGGCACAGGGGGTGAAGCGAGTAGGCAGTGTGAGCGCACTGTACCCGTGTCCTCAATGGCAGGGTGGCCGCTAATGGAAATATTTACACATCACCTGCACCGGCGGACCTTTCAGAGTAACGATGTAATTTTCCCCGGGGAGTATAACCGTTCCCGGCGCGCGCGTGCGGGTGCGGCGTCTGATAAGGGTCAGCGTGCGGAGCCGGTGCCGATTGGGTCGGCGAAATTTCCTGGCTGAACCTGGCCGCACTACGTGATGTGCGGCGAGCGAGCGAGCGAGCGGGACGAAGCGAACAGCACGTAGGGCCGGGGAAGGACTGAAAATTAGGTTCGTGGGATTTAAGTGCTTTGGCGTTCGTTTCCACTTTCAGCGATTCGTTTAGCTGTGGACAGCCGCCGTTGAATAATAAGACTGTGACGTTCCACATTCGTGACGCATTATGAGGCCGAATTGAGCGAGGAAACGCGTTTGTGCGCGGCGGATGATTTACGTGAATGTGTGCACGTTGGACCTAATCGGGTGAGGCCGTGCCACAGCGATTGACATTGTGCTGCGAACCTGGCGACTTCGGTTCGATTCCTTGCCATGGCGAAGGCGAGTGGCAAACGGTAACCGGTCCTGGTGCTCCCTTCACCAGCCAGCGTGTTGAAGTATGGTCAAACAACCCACGTTATCTAC